GCAGCCACCTGCAGGTTGGAGTTTGCGTCACTTAAGCCCAATGATTTTGACGATTTTGGAGAAGAACGCCCAAGGACAATGTCTCAAGTGCTTCAATGACATCAGGCCGTCTGAATTTTAAACAAAGTCATGAAAATGTACCAAAAGCAGAACCTGCTCACTTTTTTGACTTTTTTCTATTACTTTAGTCAGTCAGTCAGGAATTTCAAGCAGCAAAAACAACCAGCGATTTTGCTGCTTGAAACCTGTCGGGGTCACAGAGACCCCGACAGGTTGGAGTTTTCAATCTCAGGAGTATTTGGCTGCGGTGACGCGTCATCAATATCAAACGCCTATCGATACAGGCCTAGAGGCAGGTGCATTTAAAACAAAGGAGGACAGAGTGTCGGTGTGCATTCAGCACTTTTGAATAGCTGTCAGCTTATTGATTCCCCCTCAAGACGGACATCAATTCTGCTCTGCCTGCTCCGTTCTGTTTGTGACGGAGAAGCACAGATGCACATTTACAACAACAATAAAATCACCTTCTTTGCATCAGATATGCTTCTCTTTGAAAAGAACCCTTGATGTTCAGCTTGGTGTTTTGGCGCGATTATGCAATTCATCAGGGTGATGGCACAAAGGCAAGGGGGCGGGGCATGTGGAGGGCTTGGAAGGGCTGCTCATCGTCTAGCAACAGCCCAAGGGCAGGAATGTTTTGTGGGCCAGTGTGTCCGACAGGTGGCTAGGAGACGCTAATTGATTAATGGTCAGGGTTGATGTATGAGCCCCCTTGGCCAACCCCAACATAAAGGCTCAGAGCGCCGGTGTCGCCCTAAATCATTTCCTACCAGGCCCGTAAACCCAAAACAGTTCCCTTCATTTGCATTTGAAAGGCCAACTGCGAGACAGGACGCAGCTTTTAGGACCTCTGTAGGCCGTCTATTGTCAACACCCCGAGTTTGAATTAACAAGCTAGAATTTTATGTCACAGGAATAATGACAACAAAGATGGTTTTATAATAAGGGTCACTTGGCACTAATGAATGATTAACATCTCTACAATCTAAGCCTCTTAAGATGTTTAGAACTTCGTCTTGCTTTGCTTTATCCTGGAAGCGCTGAAAATAAGCTGCTGTAATTCCACAGAGAGAGAAAAAAAATCTGGAAACTAATTGAATGCATTTATAACAGCTATCCTGATACCAAACTGTTTTACACCCCAGGGTGTGATCATTTAGATTATTTTTATCCATATGTGTTTTTCCTGGCAAAGTTTTTTGGGATGACACATTCAGAGTGTCAGATTCTTCCTGAGTAATTGAAAATAAGTCAAATTCACCTTTCCCCTGATAATTTTTGACTCCATAAAACTCCATATGGAAGCAGTCTCTTCTCATTTTTTTTATTGTTGTTGCGAGCATTCTGTCTGTCTGACTCCCTGTCTCACTTTCTGGTTGTTTGCCATTCCACTGGGGGCCTCTCGTGACCCTCCTTGTTGTTTTTGTTCGATGACTGTTGAGGACAATGGCAGTCTGGAGCCTTGGCCGGCACTCAGCATGTGTGAATCTGCATCTTTCCAATGGGAGTTCTGTCCTCCGGTGTCAGGGGAGGTTATGTGATCTCTGTGTCACTGAAGGGGCTTTCCACCGCCGCGAGTGAGTGTCTGAGGAAAAAGGGTTTATCTCCGCCGAACGCTCGCTTGCGTGCGTGCGTGTGCGTGCATGTGCGTGCATGTGGCTGAAGGAATTTTATGAAACCAAGCAAGTTAAAACAACACATTGTGTCTGTTTAAATGTGAGCTCATGACTGTCGCCGCAGGGCTGCCAATCCCAAAGTTAGGCACACAGTTGAAGATTGCTGCTTTTTATCAGTCGATACGAGGCTTAAGAATGATTCCACTTTGAGTCCAGATTCCAAGGCTGGTGAGGGATTTAACTTGGAGAGTTGGTTTGCTCGTCATAAAACCCAGGTGTGGTCGTAGCCCCGTGCTTTGAAGACCATCTTTTAAAGTCTTCTCTCAGAGAGAGGGAGTTCTTGATCGAACAAGTTCTTGTTCTCTGCAGCCGATTTAGATTGCATCTGAGAATCTGGCAGAGCTCCAACAGTGTATGTTAAAGGTGAATTTCTGCACTGAGTAGCTTTCGCCCTTCAGCAAGAATAAAGACGTGATTACCCGAGGCTATTCCTGTCTGCTTTCATCAGTGTAGCTGTAGGGCTTGGACATGCATCATCAGAAATGCACGCAAACACACATGGGTATTCATCCACTCTGTCCTTCTTTCTTCTGGACTCCTCTGCTTTCTAGAAATGTAGCTACTCTTGTTTTTGTGGCCTAGTAAAAAGAGAAGAAAACGTTTGGTTCTAAACACCATTCAGAATTACAAACAGGAAGTGAGGGTGTGTAATGAAACAGGACGTGCCAAGGCCTCTGCGCAAATCAACTGACTGGGTTATTGTTGGGATGGAATAGAAACTAGCACATACACACACATGCTCGCGCACACACACCATGAATGTTGCACATTAAAGTGTTTTCAGCTGCACCAATAAACAGTATTTCATTAACAAGATCATAAAACAGACATTCAGCCTGCAACTAAATGTTGTGTGTGATATTAGTTTGACTTTGAGTTTTCACATGTAGGGCTCATGCCAAGCTTCTGACTACCTCAGTAATGCTGGCTCTAGGCGAGGCTGTGGTTGTTTTGGATACAGAATGTTTAAGGTTTATTGCTGGACACTTTCTTCCTTACCTTGATTGTAAATAGAAAGGATGCCTCACAATGCAAGGTGGTATTTGTTTCAAGGCTTCGAGGCATACTAGCACAAACCCTGTCAACTTCTACACCATAGGGATGCTTTGTACACCAGGTGTTTATGCTGTAGATGTGGAAGAGCTGGGATAAGGTTATGTAAGATGAGATTACTTTTGAATTGTCATTAAAATAAAACCGCTTCGGCTACAGAAAAGCTACAGTTTATCATGCTCAAACATCTTTGTTTTACTGGAATTTTGTCATGATATGGAAGGCAACAGAGTTTAAAAAAAAAATGTAATAGGTATGGTGTGCATTCATGGGTAAATACTTTGTTCAGCCACCTTTTGCTGCAGTTACAGCTGCAGGTACTTATTATCTCTAAAAGCTCATTGTTCTTTTAAAAATAGCTAAATATCAGTTGGTTTTAATGGACATTATTTTTGCCACAGATTCGTATTGAATTTCAGTCTGAACTTTGACTGGGCCATTAATATGGTTTGATCTAAACCATTCCATTATAGCACTGATTGTATGTTTAGGATTGTGCTGCTGTAATGTGAGCTTCCACTGCAGTATCTAGTCTTTTCAGTATCCTTCTAGGATTGTCTTATTTGTAGCTCCATCCATCTTCACATCAACTTTGACCAGCTTCCCTTCCCTTCCCTGTGATACTGAATAGGAATGATCTCTCCAAGGGGATGAACGGTTTAAATTTTTTGCGCAGTACTTTGCATGGGAAAAAGTCTATATTGCTTTCTAACCTGACATAACCGTAAGTAACTGTAAGAGTACATTCTGTGATCAGTGTCACAGTATGGTCAGTATATCAAGTTTAGGTAGACTGTAATCTCTTGGTAGGTTTATTCCTTCCTTTTCTTGATTGATTGATCAGAGAGAAGTTAGATTTTCAAATCTTAATTGTTCAAGAACCTAACCCTGCTTTAAACTTCTGTCTGAGCTGTCTGCTGTGTTCCTGGCCTTACTTGAGGGTGTTGGAGTAAGAAAGTTGAAAATAAATGTCCGCCTTTCCTTGTTTATTACTTTTTCTTGGTTTATCAAATTGAATACCTCAGAGCTACATTAAAGTTTTTGATTGCTACATCACAAAATATGAAAATCTTAAAGGGGTGTGAATACTTTTAAAAGAGAGTGCACTATATGCTTCAGCAGTTTATCCTCAGGAGCCAGTGATAACAGACTAGTGTGAAATTCATTTGGTGCTTGTAAAATGGCGCAACCTCTGCCTGGAGGAGTCTTATTTTTTTGGGACAGGGTCTTCTTCCTCCTGGCTGTAGCCAAGAGGAATTGTTTTAAATCCATATTTTTTATTTCCCCATCACTGTAACATTTGGATTTATTTGTTTTTAAGGACACCTTGGAAGACCCCATTCTGTTCTTACATTCTTTTGGACCTCAAGGGATTGTATACCCAGAGTGTGTTAAGGAGAACTTTATTTCTAAATGTGATTGGTCACGATTAAGTAGTTTGGCATTGTTGTTGAATCAAAGACAGCCATCATGGCTGCTTTGAACTTGTGGTAACTTTTATCCGCTTGATTTATCTTGAGACATTTCAAGAAATGTTTTCCCAAGTTTTCTACTTCCACAAAGTTGCCATTTACCAGATTTTTCAGAAGTGCCATATGACTTTTTTTTTTCCAGATTAGATCTGAAATTAGATTCTGAACATTTATTATCATCTGGCAACCTCCATGAACAAAATGGTGTTATTCTCACCCTCCAAACTAGTGTTGCTGAATCATTGTCTGCGATAGCCATTCATCTGTGCAGCGTCGGCCCCCGACTCCTCTTCTGTGAAGAGATGACACGCCACTTCAGATTTTTCTCTGTCCTGACAATGAAGGCGCCTCTGTCCCTATTTGCGCATCAGGCTAAGGGGATTTCTAGGCCGCCACCTGATTCACATTGCTGTAATTGAGTTGTGGCCATAAGCACCACTGTGCCTGCCTAGGCCCTAGGTAATTTACACACCACAAAAGCACTTCTTTACTCCACTTTTCACATGATGTCTGAGGCACAAATGTAGCAGAGGAGAGAGTGCAATCTATCGGAAAAAGGGTGGGGAGATTACAGAAAGTACGAGAGGGGAAAAAGAGTGTAAGAGTTTTCATGTTGCAAGGCAGGTCTGTGCCAGGGAGGCTTGGGAGTCTCTGAGTCTGCAGCACGTGGATAAGGCCCACAAAAGCTCTCGGTTTCAAATATCTTTCTCTCTGTCTCTCCCTGTCTCTCTCTCTGCAGAGCGTAGGAGTTGCTATCAATTCAAAGGGACGTTTCTTTGGCGAAGGACGTGGAGACTGACGTTTTTGGGGTAAGTGGGAATTTGTTGTTGTTTTTGGCTCGGTGTAATTGGACTTTCAACACTTGCGTCTCTGGGCTTTGCTCCGTCCTGTGTCGCATGCCACATTTGAATTGTGGTCACAAGGATGAACTTATAAACTTATAAGCTCACGATGGAGTCTGTCGCCTCGGTTTGTCCCATGTCATGCCTTCTGCTTCTTGCGGGCTTCAAGAAAAAGTCAGAGCTTGTGCGGATCTGGCTTGATGTCAGACCTGTGGAGTCACTTTCATGCGATCTTGCAGGAACCTTGTGCGAGCATGCTGAATGGGTAACATCGTGCCTTAATTCTGGGTCTGTTGTATCTGAAGCGGAGCTGGCAGTCCAAAAAAACAGCTGTTTGTCATTACAAACTCGTTTGTAGAACATGAGCTATTTCTCTGTGAAGACAGATTTTTGGGACTGATCCATCTTCCTAATATTAGTTATAAGAGCTTAAGGCAGTCAAAGAATTTGTGATTCAGTTTGATCTCATTCTTTCAGCTTCCCTCAGCTAGTCAAAGCAGCAGTCCAGTTTTTCCTTTTTCTTTTTCTTTTTTTTTTGTCTGTAAGTCTCTAGGTTGAGGGGTTTTTAGTGTCACTTTCTGGCATGTCTTCCGCCAGACGAATACCTGCCCTCATACCAGACTGGAAGCATTAGCAAATGAGTCGGTATGTGTACCTGCATGTATATGCCAGCCATTACAGACTCCCTCTAGAAAAGAGCCGCTTCATCAGATGCCCACATCACACCCACAGAAGATGTTCATGTGTCGTAAGTGGGAATGTCAAGTGGTTTGGCGGATGTTCCCTTGTTGGCATCCAGTTTGGCAAATGGCTGACTAAAAGCTGGCTGTTTTTTATTTATTTATTTATTTTTCAAGCTTACAGCTCAAAGTTTCTTGTTAAAGTCTCTTCTCATCTTCCAAATAAACAGTGGTTTGCAAAAGTATTCATACCCCCGGAATGTTTTCAGACTTTGGCAGTTTGCAACCGCAAACGTCAGCGTAGTTTATGAGAGTTTTGTGTGATTCACATAAAGTAGTACATCAGAGTGAATTGGAAGGAAAAGGAGACAGTTTTTTCAATTATTTTCTTTCTTTTTCTTTTTTTTCTTTTTGGCATGACACTTGGTATAGATGGGTTTCAGATATTTTGGATTATGTCCCTACCAGGTTTAGACATCTCTCTGACATTTTTGCCCATTCCTCCTTGGAAAATCAGCTTAAGCTCAGTCAAATCAACTGGAAAACCTCTGTTAGGATTACATTTTAAGCTTTGCCACAGATTCTCAATTAATTTTAGGTCTGGACTTTGACTGGGCCATACTGAGTACACTTTGATTTGAGCCAGTCAATAGTACTTGTGGCCTATATTTCATCTTCCTTGCTTGAAGATGAACGTCTGCCACAGTTGCAAGTCTTTTGTATATTCCAACAGGCCTCAGCCGCTCTACCTCTCACGGCCGGCTAGGCTAGGTCAGTGGCGTCAGCCAACTCATTCTTTCGTTACCTAGCAACAACCTGATGACTAACTTGCTTATCAGCAGTTTAAGGTTTCACTTATATAACTAACTAACTGCTATATAACTGCTTAAAAATAAAAATACAACGTCATAGTAGGAAAACTGGATAAAAGAGGAAAGATAATGCCACCAGTTTGGCATTATTTCAGATATTTAAAACTAAAAGCTAATAAATACTTGTTGAAGCTGACTGATATAAAATGCTTGTATCGTGATACGTTTCTCAGCCCTATTGACCAGCCCTACTTAGTAAACAATAGGTTGCTTTGATTTATCACATAAAATCTAAGCTAAAAACAGCGTCCTGATGTTTGTGATTGGTGCAGTGCAAAAAGTGAGACAGCTTAAGGGGATGGAGTAAGTTTGCAGGGAGCTTTATATGTTTGAACGTTTTCCTTTGTTGTGTTAGCCTTGGTAAACCAGGAAGCAAGTAATAAGAAGCAAGAAAAACATGATGCGATTCAGTGATGATGATGATTTAGCTTTGTTTTCCCATTTGTTGTCTTTCCTCTTGATCTTTTTCACCTCATTATATCCAATAGGAACCGTTGCACTTCTTGGAAATTATATAATCATTCTATTAGCAGCCTCATTTACTCATTACTGCTTTGTTTTGACAAACGGGGGGTGGGAGGAATGTTTTCCATCTCGCTTTCACTCTCTGACTGAGCAGGTTTTGGGGTTTTCTGCTCCATGTAAAATAGCATTTAACCCTCTCCTCCCATCGTAATTTAGATCCCAGTCTCATAAGTGGGTTGGAAGCAGCCCCAGCAGCTGAAGTGGAACACATGCATTTAATGATTCACACTCTGTGCGGTAGGTCGGCGATGACTGCTGAGCCGGCTGCCTTTCCCCTCAGTCTAGAATAGTTCTCCACTGTTGTTTTTCAGTGCAAATGTTTCTTTTCCAGCTCCCCTACTCGCATAAAAATGTGACGGCGGTTGAAGTGTGTTGCTTCAGCTCAGCTGTTCCTGTGTAATTACGCTAAACATCGCAGTCGAAGCTAGAAGCAAAAGGAATACTGTTGAAACTTCTTTATTTTCTTTTTCCTGCAAGCACTTTCACCGAGTGATGATTCTATGTCTGCATTTCATTGTAGTTATATGTAATCTAATAGACTCATGTTACATACTGGTTTTTCCACCTTTCACTTACTTTCAGACTAAACTTGAAAATGTAGAGACATGGTTGAGTAGACCGCTATTGAACCTGGGGGTGTTTTGCCCAACTGAGCTCATGTATTGTAAGATATTTCAATAGCAGGCTACTATTTAATGGTTTCCTTCCTTATGCTCAGCAGTATTGCAGACGTTTTCTAGGGCTGATTCTTAGGTAGAAATTTAGCTGTTTAATCTGCTTTTAAAAACGCCTATCAAGGTTATAGAAAGTTGTGGTTTTAAATGCTAGAAATGTTGTCAAACCATTTCTGTGCTTTAAATTCCTTTCAGATACACCTGAAAGTACATGAGAGACTGGGGTTTTCTCCAGCTTTAATAAGTGGAGAGAAAAGCAGCTCAGCCCCACCCCTACCTGCTGCTGTACACTCTTGGTCAGCTGGTCATAACATTTATGTTGAGGCATAGAAACTAATGAAGAGGTACCCGTTATGTTTACAGTGGACACTTGGACATGGACATCCTTTTAGTCTCCCGTGACAACCATTCTGCTGCGCAAAACACCTACTGGGACCTAGCTCCGCCTCTTATGACGAAGCTCCTCCTTGGAGCTGCAGTTGAAATCAAATTTCTTTTCAGAAATAATACAGAATTTTTATAACAACTGCAGTTAACATAGCTACTTGATTATGCTATAAAATGAGACTGTATGACTTGAAAACGTATAATACTGCCCCTTTAAGATCTGTATTATAGGATATTCAAATGATCTGCAATTAGTAGTCATTTATGATTCACTTGGGAGCAGAGGTAGGATAGCAATCACTGTAAAACAGACAAAACAATTCCAGTAGTGACATTTTAAACTGATTGTGCCATTAAATATTAGCTATTAGCAGAGTTAACAGTCATTCCATAAAAAGGCGGTCTGCTTGTGTTATTACCTTTACACTGTCAATCTGGTAGAAATGTCCACAAGGTATAACAATAAACTTAAGATGACTTGAGATTGGTTATTAATGCGGTCCAGTATAAAGCCATCCTGTTATGTGAAATATCAAAAACACCTGAGTGATACTTAAAACACTTAACTTTGAGTCTTTACTCTGTAACAGCGTCCTCTAACTGGCCAAAGATCAGATGTTTGAGCTTCAGACCAGCTGGCAATTGATCAAGGTAGATGAGGCTGAAAATCCTCTGGTTCTACCCACACGCTGGTTTATTGTTACTCCTGAACATGAATTAAATGGTGAGGATGGTATCATTCATACCAGCTCATCTCTGCTGTATTCCTTGTGGAAATAGTGAGTAGAGTGGGATCTCTTCCTTTGTCTCATGGCCCTGGTTTCACGTCCTTTAGGGTGGCCTTGTCTGACCCTTTCTTTCTCCACTTATTCACTCCCACATCTCTCCATCTACTGACACCCACACACACACACCACATAATCGCGGACTGGTCATCACACATATATGATATGAAGACAAATGATGGCTCATTGCCCAGACATAACTCTGAGTGGCTCTTTCCATTTTGCAAAGTAACAAATTTGTCGGCGTCCTCAGCACTTGAGAGAGATAATGCACTTAATGGCCCCTCATAGATTAAAAAGGCTGCTCATGAGCAGTGGATGGAAGAAATGGTGTGAAGCATTTATCGATTATCTGAACCCAACGCAACATAAGGCTGTTATGATCTGAGGAAATGTGTGTGTGTGTGTGTGTGTGTGTGTGTGTGTGTGTGTGTGTGTGTGTGTGTGTGTGTGCGTGCTGGGAGTCAGAACACATTACTCTTTAATTTAGCTCCCCTTCCCACCATCACCCCCGCCTCCAACAACTGCACCAGTCAGTTCACAAGAGTCATACCAGTGTTGTGTTTTTAATGTGGTGGTACTCAGATTTTACAGCACCTATAATCAACCGCATAACAAAGAGCCCCTCGTAAAATGTTGTTTTAATGAAACCTCTTCGCGCCCTTTCGTGTGTTTTTCAGAGCATTGTTGTAAATCTTTTAAGGCTTGTGAATTAAGCTTTCTGCTGGAGCTTGTTTTATGAAACTTGTTGGAACAATAGATGGTGAGATGTTTGGACAGCTGTAATTGACGAGGAGGACCTCCCTGGATCTGAGTGTTGCTGCACAGCTCTACCCAATACTGTACTCTGATGAAAAAAACACCCCAGTCATACTAGGCGAGAGGGCGTAGCTCGCTGTACTGAGCAGTCTGCAGTTCCTCTTTGGGGCGCCTCCTGACAGGAACTTGGCAGCAAGGAAACATAAACAAATTCCCTGTGGTGGGCTGGCAGGCTTCAGCTGTGTGGTTCTCCTCCGAGTTACCATACATACTGAGTGAAGCTAA